AATAACGTGTATGAGGTGTCCTTGGATAGCCTTTGAAGTCTATTATCTCAATTGAGTGGTCTTTGTTCGAGGAGAGAAGGCTTATCTTGCAAAAATCGAGCTGGAACGAGCAAAGGTCTGTGAACTCGAGCTGTGAGAGTGCTGAGACTGTTTGGTCGATATCTCGAGTTTTACAAGTCCAATTAAGGCGTGTGAGATACCCACAGAAAGCTCTCAAGACGAGGAATCCGTGAAGGTCTGGTTTGCAGGAATCGGAGTTGTGGAAGGCTTCCAAATCGTCCGAGCAAAACACAACCTCGCAGGAGAGGATTTAATCTTCTAAAGTGAGTTTTAACCCCAAAGCTTTACTTTTCATTCTCCAAATGATATGAACGATTGGTGAGACTATTATACACTAATCCAAGTGTATAATATGTCCCTAAAAAGTTATCTTATTGATGTAAAGGTTAGATACTAACCTAGATGCAAATATTGGAAAACTAGGAATCGAGTTAGCCGGAAAACACCCGTTCTAGGGGCTGTTTTCGTATCAACGATTAAGGGTTGAACTAGCACTTTGAGGAGGCTGTTTAACACTCATATTTGAGCAAGGAATCAGTCCCAAATCCACCTTGACCAAAGATTTGACCATTGGACCAAGAAGGGAAAGTTTAAAGCTCAATTGAGGTGAGGATTGACATCTAATTGCTTACAACTTGTAGGTTAAGCATGAGATTACCTAAATGCTTAAATCATGATTTTTCATGGATTATGATGACTATATATTGATGAAATATTGATATAGTTGCCAAAGAATGAATTTGGAATGATTTGAGAAAGTATGAATAATATGAGATTAAATGAGTATAAATGAACTATTTTGTGAAAATGGGCATTTTGCTCATGTATGAATCATCTGGATACATAAATGAATATTTGTGTATTGAGATTGAATACTTAAGTTGCTGCTACATAATTATAAATATGTAGAGAATTACAAACAATGAGGATAATGGTACGATAACAATAATCTTAATAGTATTGGAATACTAGTTAGTGATTATTGGAACTTGTTGATTAAATTGATCCTAGGGATTGGATTGTATGAAAGGTACTTGAATGTAGTTCAAGTGTATATGATAACTTAGTATGGGACTAAGGTTAAGTTATGGGGAGTCTTTAAGGATGACCCATGGTAGCTTAATGATATGTCAATTCTAGGCATAGGGTTGCTTGAGAATTGGACCTTAATGCATGGTGATGTGATAGAGCCGAGCTCTAGAATGCATGTAAGGTGTAGACTTGGAGTCTATGTATTGTATAGCTAGAGCCGAGCTCTAGGACTTGCGTGGTGATGTGATAGAGCCGAGCTCTAGAACGCAAGGTAGGGAGATTGACCCGAGGTATATGAATTGTATGGTGATGTGGTAGAGCCGAGCTCTAGAATACAATGTCATGTACTAGGGTTGGACTCTAGGAGTTGTCGTGGCTTATAGTCACGGGGTTGGGAATGGTGATTTCCAAATGAACATGGGCCCACGGGCCGGCTACTTGACTTTTATATAAAGTAAGTATATTTTTAAACGGGGTAACTTAGGGTTACAATCATAATATACTATCACCCTATTTGAGGGTCTTGTGTTTGAAATACTTGTTGTATATCTATTAGATGCCTGCCACACCAGCACTTTATAGCCCTATAGAGTGCTGACCCCTTCGGGGGCGTCCCACCACCATTTTTCAGGTTGAGGCTAGAGCTTGTTTCCTGTGCTCGTTGCTCGAGAGATCATCTAGGAGCGAAGACTTGGTTCGTGCTTCCTCCATTCGGATTTTAAACATTAATAAACATGCTCATGGATATTTTATTATAGAGCCTGCGTGCTCATGAATAGCCCTGTGTGGCCCTTTTGTTTTAAACAATGTTTTCCGCTGCTTTATGAATTACTTATTATGTTGTTTATGGATGACTTATGTGTGAATGATATTCATGACGCCTTGTATAATATGAATGTGTTGGACTGCGGTTGACTATTCGTATTGTACGGCGGGTTGTTGACGTGTCCGGGAAGGTCCGGGGCGTGACAATTAATCACTTTTATTATTATTATTATTATTATTATTATTATTATTATTATTATTATTATTATTATTATTATTATTATTATTATTATTATTATTATTATTATTATTATTATTATTACAATTATAATTATTATTTTTAATATTATTATAATTATACGGTTATACCTAATACACTAATTAAAATTATAGCTAATTATAATTATGATCACAATTATAATTATAATTATGATCGTAATTATAATTATAATTATGATCATTATTATAATGATTATTAAAATTATAAGCATCATTATAATTATAATCATAATTATATTTATAATTATAATCATAATTCTAATTATGATTATTATGAATATTATTATTATGGTTATTATTGGGGTTTTTATGAGAATATTACTAAAATAAAACTTATTTACATAAATATGACTATTCATTACTACAACGTAGTGCTGTTGTAACTAAAGTTCAAAACATGAACATGAATTACTATGATTTCATTACTACTCTAGTAATGAATCATATTTTTGTAAACCATCTTTATTTTGGTCATATTTATGTAATTATTTCTTATTATTGTTGTTGTTTTTGTTCTTCTGTTGTTGTTATTATTATTATTATTATTATTAAAATTCTACCTAATACACTAATTATAATTATAGCTATAATTATAATTGTAATTATATCTGTAATTACAATTATAATTATAGCTATAATTATAATTAGTGTAATAGGTTTAATTATTATAATTTAAATTTAATTTTAATTATAATTTTTTTAATTATAATTGTTTTATAATTATGATTATATTTAAATTGTATTATAATTAAAATTATAATTATAATAATTATAATTATTATAATAATTATAGAAATATTCAAATCAGATCAGACAACATAAAAAAGATTCAGATCAGATCAGAAGGATTCAGATCAGAAAAATTCAGATCAGATCAGAACTTAAAAAATTCAGATCAGAAACATTCAGATCAGGTGAAGAGAACAACTTCTTAATCTACTGAACTCTGAAAAAATACTACGTATTTATAATAAATTTTATTAATAAAATAAAGAAAATAGGTATAAAAATAGCTAAATGATCCTCTAGAATAACTTCATCCAATTCAACCAGAAAAGTAACTCTAGCCTTACTTATTATGATAAATACATAATTCAACTTGTGAAATCAAAAGTTGTGTTTTTTATTATAAAAAAAAAGGAAAAATTGAAAATAATAATCTCAACTATTGCCGGTCCGCTGATAATAATCCCAACTATTAATTATTTTTGTATAATCCCAACTATATGGACCCTCCGCCAATAATGGTCCATGACCAGATATTACCTCCTAAAAAAGTGAACATTAAATAGAAATTAAGTGTAAAAATTAAAAGTTGAGATTATTTATAGGGATTACTTGATATCTCTCTCCTCAACCACTTTAGAAACTACATGAATTTATTTATAGGGACCACTATTGGCGGAAGGTCCCTAAAGTTGGGATTATTCTGAAATAATCGATAATTGAGATTATTATAAGCGGTTAATAAGGCTAATAAGTCGGAAACAAGAGTCACCAAACGGGCTCTTATAAGGAAACAAAATAGAAGTTTTGGAGCATTTCACAAAGGCAATTAAGAAGAACATTATTATAGGATAAAGGGAGGGGTATCATTATTAATTGATCAACTTGGCCTAAGTTATTTTAGAATTTGTTGATTTTTTTTGTAAATTTGGGTAAGGTCTAGTCCCCCCAAATTTTTATTTCTGTTTCACTTGGTTTCTTGTATTTCAGAAGGAATGCCTTCTCAAAAGAGGTTTTGGTCTAGTCCCCCTCTTTATTGTATCTTTTTGGTGATTTTTAATAAAATTTGGTAAATGTTCCCCGGCATTTACCCCACCGATTTTGATGGTTTGCCTACCGGGTATCAAAAAAAAAAGGGAGGGGTATCATTCTATATGTTTCGGTATCCCTCTTTAATTGAGAATTTTAAGAGAACTCTAGAATGTTTTATAAAATTCTATGGGGAATTCTAGGGTTCTCTAATTATGTGTGTGAAGAGATTTATAAAATCTTTTAGAATGTTGTTTATCTCTCTAGAGAAATGACGAACAGTCTAGCAATTTGTAGAAGAGTGTGTAATATTCTATAACATTATGAAGCTCTCTAGAGAAGTGTTCGTTTTCTATAATCACTTGGGAGATGAGACAATCCAAGAAGGCTTTTCATAAGCTACCTATATACTAAGCTAGCAAAGTATCTTTTGTCCACTCAATTGTATAATACACAGTCATACTCCCTCTATCTGATAAAACTTGACCAATTCGACTTTTCTTGATTAATGATAATAAAGTTTATAGAATGATTTTAGTTATTATATTTGTATGAAACTTACAACTTTTATACTCTTATGAAAGTAGGTTAGAAAAGAATTTTTTCATAATTTTTCAATTATTATAAAACCCATTGGTCAAAATTTATGGAAGGGGTGTAGTATTATCAACTTGAGTCTTTGTTTTATGATTGTGTGGAAGGGAAAGAGTATTTATGGTTTAATTGGTACAATGGATTGCTTCTCATCAGTTGGCCTAGCCTCGTCGAAGATTCTTTAGTAGGGGCATAAGGCTATGATATAACTTGATTGTTCTTCTGTTGTTGTAGTAGGATTATGATGTTACTTGATTGTTCTTCTGCTGAGTCGGTGACCTGCTGATGAGACGCAATACGCTGTTACCAATCAACCAGATAAAAAATTGGTTTAAAATTCAATTCGGGATTGAATGAAAGATAAAATAATTTAAATACCTCAAACTTTGAAGAGATGTGATGTAAGCACCCTAAACTTTCTTGTGTTATATTTATACTCTTAGTATCATGAAAAATGTTTTTTTTCTTTTCACAATGTAAGTTTAGGATGTTTTTACTTGGACCGTTTTCAATCCTAGATCAGACTATACAGAAATATTATTTGAGAGAATAATGGCTTGCCTTATTGGGAGCCCTAAGCATGTATTTATAATAAAACAATTCAAGTGTTTAGGAAATTACAAAATAAACCAGCAATAATACATTATTACACTCACTCAATCTGTGCAGGGGTACAACGCGCAGATTGGAACGTAAAAGCTCAAAACGCTAACTAGATAAATTCTTAGTAAAAATATCAAAAAGCTGGAATTGTGTGGGAATATATTTAACTGTGAGATCTCCATGAGCCACTCGTTTGCGAACAAAATGGTAGTCAATCTTTATGTGTTTGCTACGGTCATGTTGGATAGGATTGACGGCTAGATAGGATGCAGAGACATTGTCACAATGTAGTTGAACTGGAGTTGAAATCAAGATCCCCATATCCATAAGAAGAGACCGAATAAATTAGGTATCCTGAACGGTGCAAGCGATGGCTCTGTATTCAGCTTCGGTGAAGGACTTTGAGATCGTCGGTTGCTTCTAGGACCGCCAAGAAATAAGATTCGTGCCAAGAAAACTGCATAACCGGGGGTGGACCGGGAACTATCAGGACATCCAGCCCAATTAGCATCTGAATAAGCCACAATAACAAAGATATTCATGTCTGACCGCAGTAAATGTGAACATGCATAAACAGAGAAACTAGGTGAACAATATAAGTAATATCAGGTCTATGTGAGAGTCAAATACTGAAGAGCACCTATCATGCTGTGATACTCAGTACCATCAGATAAAAGCTCCTCATCTGTAAGAGAAAGTGTAATATGAGAAGGTGGGGGTGTGCGCACAGGCTTAACAGTATGTAGATGAAAATGGCGTAATAAATCAGTGATGTATTTTTCCTGAGAAATAAATAATCCTTGAGAGTTACGACGAGCCTGAATACCCAAAAAATAATGAATATTCCTCAAATTCTTCCTAGCAAATTGACGAGATAAAGTATTAATGATGGAGCGAACAAACGAAAAAGAGGAACCAATAAGTAGAATATCATCCACATAAAGAAGAATATAAACTGTCTGAGACCGAGAACGGTAGACAAACATGGAGGAATCTTATTTACTTTGACAGAAACCATGACTCAATAAGAACCCACCGAAACGATGAAACCAGGCCTGAGGTGCCTGTTTAAGACCATACAAAGGCGTACACATGATTAGCAAACGAAGGGTGAATGAAACCTTGAGCATGTATTTATAATAAAGCAAGTGTTTAGGAAATTACAGAATAAACCCACAATAATACATTATTACAGACCAGACCAAGCCAGATCAGAGCAGATTAGACTTAATCAGACCAGGTCAGACCATATCAGTTGAGACCAAACCAGACCAGACTTCCATAGTTACAAAATACACAGAGACCAGCCATTTACCATACCATACCAAACCAATTCAGACAATACCAGACCAGTTCAGACCAGACCAGATCAGACTTAAACAGACCAGACTATCAAATTTCAGTCCAAGTAAAAACATTCTTATGATTCTTAGCTTTAACTACACTTCTATAAATGTTTATGTATTTTAATTCATGTGCTTAACGCCATAAGATTACATTTTTTTAGTAAAGAAATACTGAGTATATAGTAATGATGCTAACTTTTTTATGTAGAATTCATGATATATACAGAGTATATTACATATGTAAGTTTGGGATGCTTACCTTACACCCTTTCAAAATGTTTAATAAATATTATTATATTTAATAAAATTTTTCACGATTTGAAATTATCAACATAGTTTTTACTTACAAGCAGTTAAATATTTTAACAGTCGAAAATAAATTGTCAAATGTACAAATTAACTGTTAGAACTAAATCACAACTGTTAGTAACATTTTTGTGTCTAGAACTCTATAAGACTTTAGTACTCGAGAAATGATCCTGTCCAGCAGCTCCCGGTCCCAACAGTGTCCGAACATGGCCATTTGGGGCACTTCCCGGTGGAAGTTTTTGATGAAATTTTTTGAGCATGTTCCTCATCAAGTCTAGTTTGTCCATACCAAATTTCAGCTCAAAATTCGTTCGGGAAGACATTCAAATCATTTTTTGAAGTTGACTGCGTCAAAATATACATATAAAAACGCAGTCAACTTCAAAAAATGATTTGAATGCCTTCCCGAACGAATTTTGAGCTGAAATTTGGTATGAACAAACTAGACTTGATGAAGAACATGCTCAAAAAATTTTATCAAAAAATTCCACCAGAAAGTGCCCCAAATGGCCATGTTCGGACACTGTTTGGACCGGGGCTGCTGGACAGGATCATTCCTCTTAAGTACTCCGTAGAGAACTTAAAGTGTATTGAAAACAAGTGCTATGTGAAATGATTAGGTGTAGGAAAGGTCTGTGGTGCTTGAAATTTGAAAAGGTAAATCGGACGGTGGAGAGGTGAGTGGTAAAGAAAAGGAAAGGGCAGATGAGGATGGTGGACGAAAGAGTGGAAGTGTGGGGTCAAAGGGAAACCTTAAAAGTAGGCTTGGGACCGATTCGGTTCCCAAGCAAAATATGTGGAATCGTTTGAAAATATGAAATTTTATTAACGGTTCGTTTCTAGTCATTTAACGGTTCCTAGTCTTTAAAAAAATCTTAAAAATCATTGTTACATTTTTGTCAAAAATACATTTAACGTTTGAAATTACTATACAAATATGTTGAACATCATTTCAAACTGAAAAGTTGAGTTTAAGATATAAATACATAACAAACTGTAAATTTTAGTAAATAAAACAAAACAAGATATTCGCTAAAGAAGCTCAAGAAAACCAATTAAAATGAAAAATAATTTTAAATAGTTAAATATCTAAACTAAAATAGTGAATGTCATATAAAAGTAGATAAGTAAATATACATTAAAATACATATACCAATAAGAAATATATATAATTTTAATTATTATTATATATAACGGTTCCTTAACGGTTCCGGGTACATATTTTTTTCAGGAACCGAGAACCGAACCGTTAATAAAAAAAACAGGAACCGAACCATTAACAAATAACTAATAAATTTTGGAACCGAACCGGGTCATAACGGTTCGGTCCGGTTTGGTTCTCCGGTTCTTGGTTCCAAAGTCTCAGCCCTACTTAAAAGCCCGTTGAGGTAAATCAGTGTAGATGGCCACGTGACGGAACTTAACAGTTGTGAACATCTTTTGTACATAGTATATGAACAACTGAACAAGTTATTCATGAACAAAAAAATACGGAGTAACATGTTCACAGACATGTACTTCGTATATTGATGTGCACAAAAAAGTAAGGGTGGACAAAAATACCGCATCGACATGGTCTTGAATAGGACCAGTATGGTACTGAACTGAAAATACGGTTTGAATTAGATCTCAGAAAATTTTTTCCCGGACCGTACCGGTTACAAACCATGCCATGATCGGTTTTCATAAAATGAGAGCCAATGTCGCTCACAATCTGCCTTCAAATACAGCTCTCAAACAAAGCCAAATTTGAGACCGCTTGTCCTCTACAAGTGGCAAAGTTGATCGTCTTCATTTACTCAATCACTTTAATTTTTGCAGTCAAGTCAAAATATGCAACATGTGACTAACGGACCCACCCGAAATATGAAAACGGTAAAACTTTAAAAAGATACAAGTAAATATTTGTTTACATTATGAAACATGTAAAATTACCTTAGTGAGAATTTTCAGATTCTAGGATAAGATATTTACATTGATGATATTAAGGGATCCATGAACACTAAAAGCAATCAATAATGGATGTGGCATAAACGGCGAAGATTTCAGCCATGTCGCTTCACAGCCATCAAGTGGATTAATCAATGTTCAAGATTGAATCTCCTCGGCGAACGGGAGATATTCAACAACTCAAGTCTATAAATACAAATTAAAGGAGGTGTGGTGAGCTAAGAGTGTGCAACTAAGAAGGAAAAACAAGCTTATACGACATCTATAACAAAGGAGTAAGTGCTAATCTATCACTCGTCTTCTTTGCTCAACCCATTTCACTAAGCTCTTAGACTAGTTTACTCACATAAATATCTTTAGAGCTTATATTAGTCGGATGTTGAGACTTACCTTGTAACCTAAACTGATTGTAGCATCTGGAGGGCTCCGTGATCAAATCCAGAGTGTAGAAGGACATGAGTAGCTTTTAGCAAGTCAATGCTATCTCTGAAAAACCTTGTAGAGAGTATGAATGAGTATCTTGGAGTGGTGTTTGAACTTCTCAAGAAAAACCTTACAATGATACAATCTATGCCTGTGTTCAATGGTAGATTGGGCACAAAGTGTATTGAACTGAATAACTTAGTGAAATTCATCTAAAAGATGGTGGAACTGAATGTTGGAGGATTACACCACCTCTGTACCAGGATATATCTGGTGTCCTCTTTATTTGCAGTTCTGTCAACATTGGTACTCATATTCATCCTAAACACCTATCTAAAAACATCTATCAAAATACATCTTATTTTTCAGTGTTCACAAACTACTTAAGATATCTATAAAAAGTAACATCAGATACTATTCACTACACTTCAAACAATAAAAAGCTTGTTCAATAATAGCTTTAATTGTTTGGTTGCTTTTCCTGAGGCATACCAAACTTTAGGCCACAAAATTCAAGAAAAAAGCTATTATACTCAATTAGAAAACAATGTATTCATAGGGAAATATCTTAACGAAAACAAAATCATTACTCTTTCCTAAACAATTAAAGCTTGTTCAAGATTAAGCCGGGTGATGGACATCAATCTTATACATAATTAAAAGTACTTGTTGTAGTGATGCTATCGGGTGGATAAACTAACTTTTCTTGCAAAATGGAACAAAGCTTTCAACACCTTATGTTTTTTAGTTTTTTGAGGCTATACTAAGCGCGCAACACCATAAAATAAATTACATAAACACAACATAATCGGATTATCCTCTACCTCTCTACACACAGAGCAAATATTAGCGTACCACTAAGCTAAAATTGTATTGCACATGGGTGTTTTAATGCATACACCTTTCACAAGTAAACATTGCGAAGGGTAAGGTGGCTAGTTGGTTATCAACATTTTTTTAAACATTGCCTCATTCAAATCTCGGTATCACCAAAGAAAGTATATAATAAATTAAATTTAAAAAGCTCACTCACTCTTAAAAGAATGACTCTAACATATACTAGACACAAAAAAAACAAAAAAACTTTATTCATAGATAAGAACAAAAGTCACATTGGTAATACAACAGAAAAGTTTAGGTTATCAAAACTAAGGTTAGGCTCAACATGGATTCCTTCTGGCAGAAAAAATTCCAGCCAAGTTGTGTGGATAAAATAAAGGTAGCTATTGTCTTGTTCATTTCAACAAATAAGAGTGAAGATGTATGCAAATTAAGCGCAAAATTTCAAATATTTTCAAATTAATCATGAATATACTCTAGAAAAGTCACAAAAGTAGGATTTAAGGAAGATTGTTACTAAAGTGATTAGATTCAATTGAGTCTCGAGATCATAGTAACACAATTAATCCCAAGAAATAAACATATCAAATTTAAATGCAATCTCTCACACTTTTAAATGTCATATTGATATTGACGCCAAACATATTTGTGGAATGACTGTGAGGGTAAAACTTCACGAATAATCCTTGAATCACAAATCAAATGATGAGCATTAATTCGAAGCTGCACAAAGCCAATACATCATTTGCAAAGGGAACATTTTCAAAGGAGTAACATAGAACAAGAAAGTGAGCAAATAAAATTATCATGGTGCTCAACATTGAAATTTCAACAATCCAAACAAAGAAAGAAAACGATCACAAAAAGTTTAAAGCTCATGAAATTTTAGTCAAGTGTAACTACAACTATAATGAGGATATTTTTGTGGTTTGTCCTACGGATCTACCTATGTGCGTGTAATTATTAAGTAACATTTGGTCAAGCGTGTGACTTGCGCTCGACCATATATGCGAAACAGTGTGACAAACTAAATCTGACTTGCCCCTCATCAGTCTTACAGTCATGTGTTTGATCGTGGCCTGGGCATGATATAGAAACTCAGAAAAAAAAAAAAACTTGCACACTATTATGCACACATTATGCGGTCTACCATGTGCTTGACTGTGCGGGTGAATTGGAATCTCAGGATATATAGTCGAGGAGAGCCATCTTAAAATCATTATATGTTT